ACTTCTACTTCCTTAGTGTTTTGTAGATATACAACGTATAAATATTATTGAAATAATATTTCTTACATGCATGAATACCTACCAAATATTTAAAAAATAAATAAGAAATTCATTTAATTTTTGAAGAAAATACTTTTTCCGTACTAAACACTAGAATGCACACTCCTCTATTGCTAGTTGATTCTTCAGATTTCTGGGTTTTCTCTGCATTTTTGAAATCTGACATGAAAATGAACAATATGTAGAGATCGTTTAAAGTCCAATCAAAATGCTTTGTGATAGTTTCATTTCGGATTTCATAATTTTAACTATTTCCAAAAACAAAAACAAAAATCGTCAGGTCATTATATCTCACCATAAAATTGATTAAAAAAATTATCATTAAAGCAAAGATATTTAAAAGAAATATTATTTAATGGTCATTTATTTAAAATTGAATGGCCATATGTACGAGTAATTAACTCAATCCTATGCTTAGACATTTTAAGTAAGAATTAGAAAATATAAGTAAACACTAGAAAGATAAAACTTTGGACCTCTTTATTATTCTAATGATTAATATGGACCTGATTGGAACAATATTCAAATCACTTTACCATTAATTGACAGTGCTACAAACAATTTTAATTGAATGAAATGTTTTTGCATCAACTTTTTGAATGAAATACGTTGGCATAATTTAATATGTAAAACGATGACAACTCATAGATTGGTAACGTCAACATCCAAATTCAAGTTAAAAGATTTAGTTAATCATTTCACAAATATGTTTGAATGCTAGCTTCACAATTATGAAAAATTATGAGTTCATACCTATAAAACTTATTGTTTTATGAAATCTATTTAATTTGGTTTCAAACTTGGAGTCTTTTTATCAACGGGAGAGAATTTTATTACTAGCTCATAAGTATAAAGTAATATACATTGTTAGTGCAGTTTTGACACCAGCCCATCATAAGCTTTATTTATGGTAGCAGATAACATATCTTACTTTCAAGATTTCAAATCACATATTTTAAGGAGACTTACCGATAAATATGCTTTAGATAATAACCTGATACTATGAAAAATTATTTATACTAACGGTATGCAAAACTTAACCTCATTAATTTTCCTCCTAAAAATTGACAATATTTTATAGAAGACCAATTCATTCTTTCGAAAAAACAAAAAATCAATTCTCTATGATATCCACATGATACATCACATACAAACATAGTATCAGAGAGAACTGATTCATTCCTTAAAAGAAAAAACACTCCTCAGTCCTCTCTATACCCACATAGCATATCATATACTAACATAGTATCATAGAAGACTGGTTCCTTCCTTAAAAAAAGACACCCCTGTCACGTGCGGGCATGATTCTTTTTCATAGGCCAAACACGTGAAAATTCTTTTTTGATATATTCGATCTTAGGACCTTTGCTTGCTCTGATATCATGTTAAAGTGTGTAACCATCTCAACTAAAAGCTTAAGTGGTTAGAGTGAACACACTTTTATTATTTAATTGTATTTTCAACACAAGGATATGTTTCGTATATCATAGAAGTGATTTTCTAACTTATTTTCTATTGTTCAGTTAGTAAGAGAAAATATTATCGCAAGAGCATTTAGTTGTAATCTAAAAAATATACTATGACATGCACTTTAACAGAAAATACTATAACCGGGAGATGACCCTGAATCTAGGACAGTGTGGGGCGTAATGTCTTGAGTTAGTTCAAGGTTCGAAAGTTGGGTTCTAGATCTAGGTCTGAATTCAAATTTGAGGGTTGAGCTCACAATTCAGATCTAGGGTCGGGGTGGGTCGAGTCCTAAGTCAAGGTCGGGAGTTGAATCCTGAATCAAGGTCAGGTAGTTGGGTATTGGGTTGGGGTTGGGGTTAGGGTTAGGGTTAGGGTTGAGTATGAGAGTTGGTTCAAGGGTCGTGTATCAGGTTGATGCTGGATCTCGGATCTCGAGTTAGAGACGGGTTAAAAGAGAATTTTGGAAAATGTCTTCCTTATTTCATGTAGGGAAGCCATTTTTCTTAAATTTGATTAAAACTAGTCTATTTAGAAATCATTTTCCAAAAACTTCTAAGTAAACCAAACATGAAGCGATTGGAATTGCCATTTAATTTGCTAAAAATTGTTATCATAATTATTGAATATAATAAATTGAAGAAAAAGGGAATGAAATCTCATATTGCCAATAATGTTTATTTTCAACGGTTAAAGAGATCCTTTATTTTTTGACAATTCGAAAAGTGAGTCAAAAGAGCATTTTGGTAAAATCCGACAAAAGCTTAAGCCTTTCTCCAACATATGTCCCTTCCCTTTCTTCCTTTTTCACTTGCAACCAACCCTTCATGTTCAAAATACAGGTCAAGGTGCATTCTTGTAATTACTCCACAATTCTATGCCCTTTTTCATATTCTCAATACTCCTTCTATTTATACTCTCAAATTCTCACTACCAAACCCTATCTATTCAACCCCATATATCTTCATTTCAATTCCTCAAAACTAAACACTCTTGAAATAAAAAACACCTTATTGCAAATTAATTTGGTAAGTTCTCTTTGAAACATTTTGTTAATTATTCATATTTTATGTCTCATCTTTTATGGTTCCTCTCTTCTTCTTTTGGTAAATTACCATTTGCAACATTATGTCCATTTATACTCATATTGCAGGTATATTAAGAGTCTGTTTGAATTAACTTTTTGGCTTTTATAAACTCGAACTTGTGATTTTATTTTTATTATGTTAATTTAAAAATAAGTGTTTGTAGATGTTTTTCTAATTTGTCCTGCTTGAAAACTATTTTAACTTAAAAACACTTAAAATAAGTCAATCTAAACAGACTCTAAGTCATGAGATTGTTCATTACACAAATTTTTAGTGCTCCCTTGTAGGTGTTCATAATGATGATGAGAATATAGGAACATTTTTATAGTTATATTAAAATGTCCGATTTAGATATCAAAAGATTCCACATAGAAAGCTGAGATTATTTTAGCTTTTAGTCCATTTTCTTTTTCTTTTTTTCTATTTATTTCAAGAAACTTTTTTTTTTTTGTAAAGCACCAGATCCCAAGGTTTTTGTTATATTAACAGAGAATTTTTTTTCATGTTTGTGACAGGAAAATGAAGGATCATTCCTATTAGAAAAAAGTTACTCAAGCTTTATTTAGTTCCTCTTTTTCCATGCAACTTATGATATAGAGCTTTCATATCTAGCTAGAGAGAAAAAATGGCCAGCATAGGATCAAAATCGATCATGTGTTTGATCGTGTTCGTGCTATTTTACATGCAGCAAGTCAAAAGTAGCTCTGAGCTCGAGCTACTTTTATCGATGAAAACATCGATGAAGGATCCATTAGGATCTCTTCATGATTGGATTCCGCGGTCTCAATCTTTTTGCCATTGGAATGGTGTTGTTTGTGATGACTTGTCACATGTTGCAAAAATTGAGCTATCAGGGAAGAACTTATCTGGAAAATTATCCGAGACTATTTTCAACTTTCCATACGTTGAATCGATTGATCTCTCGAATAATCAACTCTATGGAGAAATTCCAAGCAATATCTCAACTTGTTTGGCGCTGAGATTTCTCAATCTGAGTAACAATAACTTCACAAGTCTACTTCCTCAAGGCTCGAGAATCCCACTTCTCGAGACATTGGATCTCTCAAACAACATGATTTCGGGGAAAATCCCCGAAAATATTGGTTTATTCTCAATGCTCAAAGTTCTTGATTTTGGTGGAAATGTGTTGGTTGGAAGCATTCCAAAGTCTATTGCAAATATTTCTAATTTGGAGTTCTTGACTCTTGCTTCAAACCAACTAATCGGAGAAATCCCTCGAGAACTAGGTCTTTTGAAGAACTTGAAGCTTATTTATTTGGGATACAACAATTTCTCTGGTGGAATACCGGAGGAGATTGGTGAATTGTCTTCTTTGTATCATCTCGATCTCGTGTACAACAATCTCACAGGTGAAATCCCTTCATCTTTAGGTAATCTCACCAATCTTGAATACCTTTTTCTTTACATAAACAAGCTCACTGGCCCGATTCCAAGATCTCTATTTAATCTCAAGAAAATCATCTCGCTTGATTTAAGTGATAATTTCTTGTCTGGTGAAATTCCTGAGCTTATTTCCCAATTACAAAATTTGGAAGTTCTACAATTGTTCGCGAACAATTTCACTGGTAGAATTCCAAATACTTTATCTTCCTTACCTCGACTTCAAGTTCTTCAATTATGGTCTAATAAATTATCTGGTGAGATTCCCAAGGACCTTGGGAAACACAACAATCTCACAATTCTAGACCTTTCCACCAATAACCTCACGGGTAAAATACCCGAAACCATATGTTACTTCAACCATCTTTTCAAACTCATACTCTTTTCAAATTCACTTCATGGCGAAATCCCTGTAAGCTTGAGTCATTGCAAAAGCTTACAAAGGGTCCGCCTTCAAAACAACCACCTCACCGGTGAATTGTCCCCAGAATTCACAAAACTCCCACTTGTTTACTTCCTTGATATCTCGGGCAACAATCTATTTGGCTCCATTAGCGAAAGACGATGGGATATGCCATCACTTCAAATGCTAAATTTGGCTAAGAACAAGTTTTTTGGTACCTTGCCTGATTCTTTTGGTAGCAAGAAACTCGAAAACTTGGACTTATCCGAAAATGATTTTAACGGTACTATTCCTAAGAATTTCGGAGAGTTATCAGAGTTAATGGAGCTCAAACTACGAAGCAACAAGCTTTCAGGCGAAATCCCCAATGAATTGTCTTCATGCAAGAAGATTGTGAGTCTTGATCTGAGCCATAATCGATTTTCAGGTCAAATTCCAACTAGTCTCTCCGAAATGCAAGTTCTTAGCCTTCTTGATTTGTCAATGAATGAATTATCAGGTGAAATCCCGCCTAATTTGGGGAAAGTTGAATCACTTGTCTTGGTTAACATCTCTCACAACCATTTCAGTGGATATTTACCGTCCACCGGAGCTTTCCTAGCCATAAATTCAAGTGCGGTGGTTGGAAACCAACTATGTGCCCGTGGGGACGACATTACAAGCGGCTTAACGCCTTGTAAATCACTCAAGAAAAGCTCAATTTGGTGGTTCTTCTTGACATTTCTTCTTGGAATACTAGTTTTGCTAGTATTCTCGGCTTTAGTTATTGTATTTATTCAAAGAAGAAGAGAATTGAAGCTAAAGAAAGTGGAGAGTACTACTCAAGATGGTAATAATTGGGAAATTCAATTCTTTGATTCAAAAGCCTCAAAATCCATCACCCTAGATGACATCTTAGGGATTGGAGTTTCGTACAAAGGGTTTTATTCTGAAATAAGTAACATGCAAGTATTCGTGAAGAAGTTGAATGTGAATATTCCAACAAGTTTTTGGACAAACATCCAAGAACTAGGAAATATTCGACATCCAAATGTTGTGAAGATATTGGCTGCATGCAAATCGGAGAAAGGAGGTATTTTGGTTTATGAGTATGTAGAAGGGAAAGATTTGAGTGAAGTGATTCGAGTCATGAGTTGGGAACGTAGACAAAAAGTTGCTATTGGCATATCTAGAGCATTGAAATATTTGCATTGTTCTTGTTCACAAAGCATTTTCATCGGTGACCTTTCTACCCGGAAAGTTATCATTGACGGAAAAGATGAACCTCGCCTGAGATTGAGTCTTCCCACTACGTCCTACGTTGGTCCAGGTAAATTTACCATTTTACCCTTGTCATCTACGGTTACTTCTCTTGTTTTGACATTTTTTAAGAGTTTAAGTAATATACAATCGTAAGCTAAAACATCATATATTCTATCAGGTAACATGTCTTATTTGCAAGATTATAAGCTTACTTACATACATCTTTCAACTGACTAGATCATGTAAATTAATTTATACTGATAATGCATATAACTTAATTAACTCGTTAGTTTAATAGTTAACAACCTTTGTTATAACTTAAACAAACCACATATAGTTTCTAAAGAGTGTAACGTAGCTATGATGACTTTAATGAAAATTGATTTTTTCAGCTTTAGCATTGATGTGATAGGAATGTCATGTTATGTTGAAAATTATTTGATCTAACTAAAAGAAATTTTGTATTTTTCTAATTATTAGAATAGAAATAATTCTTAGAATTTACGTACTTGGTCTTTATTTGGTTTCTATTTTAACTTTAGTTCTCATAGTCTCTAGGAGTAATGATAAGGTCAAGGAATTAAGCAAACAAATGTCATGGAGGCAATCATGAATGTTTTTTTCTCTTAAAATAAATGTAGAGACATAAATCTTATCATTCCTTTCTTTACGTAGAAAACAATAAATCTAGTCTAGTGTAACAAAAGTCATGACCTTTTATGCCATGCACGTACAATACTGTTACTTAATTACGAGTTACAACTTTTCTCATAAATTGTAGAATACAATGGAATATCGGAGAGGAGCGATATATATGGATTTGGGCTTGTTTTGATCGAGTTATTGACTGGAAAAAATCGCGGTGATGCTGAATTTGGGAAGCGTGAGAGTATAGTTGATTGGGCGCGATATTGTTACTCAGAATGTCATTTGGATACATGGATTGAACCACTATTGAAGAGTGATGCAGTGAATAATCAGAATAAAATGGTGGAGATGATGAATGTGGCTCTTCAATGTACTGCTAGTGAGCCAGCAGCAAGGCCTTGTGCTAGTGATGTTGCAAAGACATTGGACTCTTTTGTTAGATCAAATTCTTGTGGTTTAGGGTTGAAAAGGTGTGGTAGTGTTTAGATTTTGGGATTTCTAACTTCAAGTCCAAGATTTTTGTTTTTATGTTAATGTTACTTTCTTTTTTTTGGTTTACTTTGTATTGGGCATAAATTAATGAGTGTTGCTCAATGTTTTGGATGTTATTTGAGTGTAAAAATGTAGATATGAAACTAAATGCTAATATATATATATAGTAGATTGCTACTTTTAATATGCTCATCTATGTTTCTTTTTGGCTTCTCATGTGTTATAGTTATCTCAACACCAATCAAAAATTCTAATTCTGTATGAATAGATATTATTTCATTCCAAATCTTTTTCGATACCTCCTAAGGAAATTACCAAATTTGGATCCAAATTGACGAATTAGCGTAAGTTCATGATTGTATGTGTGATACCATCTACCATTCTAATAAAAACTTACTCATCTCTATTCTTCCAATATAATATTTGCCCAAGTTATATTTCAATTGATCCCCTCGACATATATTTGGTAATTGTCCATTGGAGACATCGACATAATTTCATCGGTCCAAAAAACGACCGTAAAAAAATGAGGCAGGTTTTAATAGTGACATTTGTGATTTTGTTATGTGAAAATAACCCATCAATGATTATTTTGAAAAATATTAAGTAACATGACCAATTAGCTTATAGATAATATTTCATATAAATTATTTTGCTGTAATTATTGAAAATAGGCATTGCATCTATATATTGAATCAAAGATTAACGGTCAAAAATTAGGAGTAACAATGTTTTTCACCCATAATATTTTTCACTAGCAAACAATAAAGACCATAGCTTTATTTTTATTTTATTTTTAAAAAAAAGAAAAAGAAAAACCTTAGCTTCTTTCACTTAATCATTATTATTCCTATAGGCCAAATAAAAAAAGTAAATGTATATCTAGACACAAACACTTTGTCACTGACAAACATCTTCTTTCACAATAATCATTATTATTCTTATTGAAATAAACATGTCTATCTATCAACATAAAGATTCATGCTAATCAAAGGTTACCTCTTTTTATTACAAAATTCAATATTCCAAAGCTAAGACAAAAGAAAAGAAAATGCATCGTTGTGTCTATCACCATATATGTATTAAAACGCAATCCAAGAAAAATGTCTCATAGACAAGAGTCTAAGAAACAATCAAATGTACAAAAGAATATTATTTCTGAGTGACAGCTTTTGTTCATAGATATTGCTTATCTGAGTGAGAACAAGCAAATGGTCCTATTTCACTTATGTAAAAGAATATTTTCATAAGGGTCAACAGCTAAATGACCAAAAAGAAAAAATAATAATATTCTCATTTGTTGAAGGGACCATTGTACTAATTTCTTAAAATTCTGAATAGTCTCATATATCGAGCGTATTCTTTGTCCCATTGTCGGATACTTTCTCCGGTTCGTTTTAGTTGTCGTGTTTATTAAAAATAGCTAAGCTTAAAATAATTGTTATTGTTTTAGTCCATGTTAAGTGAATTATAGGAAAATGATATACTCCCTAAGAAAAATATTCAAGGACATTTTACTATTTTCTTTATTTCAATTTGTTAGACAATATACATTTATTAAGAAAACTACTTAAGGACATAATTTAAACCATACTTTTCACTATGTGAAATCATAAATATAACTTTTCAGGTAGAAATAGTGTAATTTATCTCCTAGGAAATATCAAACATTATTAAAGGAAAGGAAAAATATGGAAAAGAAATCCAAACATCCATCTTGAACTTTGAAAAATTCAATTATTTCAAACAATGAAAAAAACTCAAAATTCACTTAACATGGAATAAAGGAGTATTATCATTTTCATTATTTTCAAACCATTCTCCTAGAAAGTGTAACTTAGTTAAGAACTCCATTAAAAGGAAGGGTAGATATGAGAAAAAGTACAAATAATTTTCTTGAACTTTGAAATATTTACTTATTTTCAATTATGAAAAAAGTCTCAACAATTCACTTAATATGAACTAGAGGGAGCAGTTTAGAAAACCATGATATAATATAATTAATTGTTTGTTAAAATCTTTACCCTTATTAAATGGGGAGAAAGATTAATATGGTAAAAAAAAAGAGTACTATAGTATTAAATTGAAATCAATGAGCAAGTAAAAATAATTTAGTCCTATTACCTTTTTAATTACTCTATTCGTTTCATTCATGAGACACCCTTTGACTTGACACAATATTTAAGGAAAAAAAAATTGAAAATTGTGGTCTAAAACAATCTTGAGATATTTGTGTGGTAGAAATTATTTTATTAAGGGTAAAAGAGAAATTTTAAAGTTAAATTATTTCTAATTATAGCTAGCATTTGGCCCTAAATTCTCAAATATTCTTGGCAAATCATATTTGGGTGAAGTTTTTGATGAAGTTTCACCATGTGTTTGGCCTCAAATTTTCCCAAAAATATTTGACTATTTTAAAATATATGGTTTATACCCATAAGTTCTAACAATTATTTAAAATACCCATAAATTTATATTATCATTTTATAATGAATATGTTTCGTAAAAAAATAACATTATAATATAATTGATAACAATCAACAAACAACAAAATAACAATATAGACAAGACAATACATTAATCGCATACTCAAACTTGTCACTGATTCAGTTATAATTATAACTCGTTAAACATAAATTGCTCTTTTTTCTCAATTTTATCACTCATACTAGAACTCAAACTTTTTTGGAGGAGGTAGTAACAAATATTAGTTGGAATCAATAAATGATGAGTATTTTTATAAAATATAAAAGTATGAGGTAATTTTTGAATTTTTTAAAATTTTCAAATATTAGAACTTGACTCAAATACTAGTTTTTTCAAGTATTTGAGAACTTGGGATACTTGACAAATATATTTACCAAGTTATATGACCAAACACCACTTCCCAAGTTTTTCTCAAGTTTTCCCCAAAAATTATTTTTGGAACCAAACGGATCCATAGTAAGGTGGTATTCTTTTTGGAGATGGACTACAAAAGAAAGGCCGCCACACAAAATTGGACATAGGGAATAATATTTTTCTTAAGAAACGTGTAAAATATTATGATAAATAAAATGAATCAGAGAGAATATATATAGTCTATTATCACATAAAGAGAGACTGTTAACATACTTCCTCCATTCACTTTTACTTGTCATATTTGAACTTGACACATCTACTAAAAAAATAATTATTGATATTGCTATTTTACCATACTATCTCTATTAATTGATGTATTTAACGGTAAATCTAAAAAAAGAATCTAAACAAGTAAAAATAAAAATTTGTTTTTAGATGAACGGAAGGAGTACTAAACAAAAGCTACATTTGAACTTGTTTCTTTTACGAAACTTAAAGTAAAGATAGAGTTTTTATGCTTTAATCTCACATTTTGCTAGATTTTCAATAAGCCAATTGGTCAAAAGGCTTTCTACGTAGAAAATAATCTAATCATTAAAGATATATAATAATATATAATACTCTCCCATGCGTAAAATAATTGATAGGATAGAAAACAATAATTGCTCAACTTAGCTTCACGAGAACTTTCAAATCTTGGTCATACTAGTATTCACAAATCTTACCATTGCATGGTATATATTTTATCAAGAAAAAATTGTGGTTAAATCTTATATATAGTAATCGAAAAAATTATTTTGAGGGTCTACAAGTTAATGCTTTACTTGTCTAAAAATGTATCATAAAAATTGTAATCGAATATACTATTGAATATTATATTGTGTTTAATATCCTTTTGTGAATAGCAATCTTATATTGTAATAAGAACCTGTTAAATTTAAATTTTAAATTCATTTTTTTCGTAATAATACATTCATCTTCTCAAAATTCTGAATAACGTTTGTTCTTGAGAATGCACCTCAATGATGTGGTTTAGAGATTAATAAATCTATAAATAAATCATGGAAAAATTGCTAAGTAAATATATTTATTTATTTATTTAAATATTGATGGACTAAAGTATCTAATACATACTCTAGCTAGCAGAATATTACATGTATGATCTTAATGAAATAGATCAATCAATGTATGAGCAAAATAAAAGAATATCTTATATCTCAAAGGCAATATATAACACATGGTAGACAATTTATGAAGGCTTAATGTTTTGTTACAATGTTGAAACGACTATGATCCTGTGGAGTAATAATGTCGTATCAATTTATTAGAATGGTGATGATTGCACATTTTCTGTTATAATTACTTGAAATTCTTTGCTAATGATTAGGACAGACTGTCTATTTGCTTCCAAATTCAGACTCATTTGTCATTGGCCATATGAGTTGACATTTTGATACTCATTTCGTCTCAATTTATATACGTGTCACTATTTCATTGATCATAAAAAAAGAATTAAAAATTAAAATGGAACAAAGGAGGTAAAGCTTTGATAATTAACTAATGTTTTCAACTTTACTCCATGATAAAAGTGAAATAGTAATACATTAGTAAAAATAGAGGTGTAGTAATTATGTATGTCACCAGCAAGCATTCACGTATTGTTTAGGAGGTTGTATGGACATTTATAAGAGGGGAATGTAACTTGGAATAAGTTAGAAATGTTTTAAGGGAAGAAGATGTTCATAATTACATGATCTAACTTCAAACAATTATATCTCTCATCAAGTATATAATGAATTGAAATTTTGTGTGCGCGATAGACAAGCAATGCATAGGCACCTGCCTGCGCTATTAGTGTGTGAGCGACGTACAAGGTACTTCTCGTGTGTGTTAGCCACATGGTACATATGGTATTTCAGAGACTAGTAGCTATAGAAGGTCAAAGATGTTTGGGAAAAGAGAAATTGTGACATTTTGGCATGTCGTGGAGAGCATTTTAATTTGGAGGAGAAAACAGACCTAGGTTCATCATTTAACCCAAATTCAAGATGAAATCCATGAATCAACATCATTTAACACCCATAAACTTCTAAATTTGAGGTTTTCACCAAATATTGAACGACTCTACAAGGACCCAAATCTTAGGGGAGTGTGTTTGATACGAAGGAAAATGTTTTCCAATTTTTTCATGTTTGGTTGACTTAAATATTTTTCAAATCAATTTATTTTCCTCAAATTGAGAAAAATGACTTTCCTTAAAAAAGTAAGAAAAACATTTTCCAAAATCATTTTGAACCTCACTCGTGAACTTTCCATCCTAACTTAAGTCTCAGATATCGATTCCCAACTCC